AGGAATAACAAGTGTAATATCCACTAAAGCACAGCTTAAGTATATAACACCAACAGTACCGAGTCCAATTAGAATTGCCATCAAGAGAGCAAATGCAAATCATGTCTCGGAAGAAGAAATCTCATCCACTGACGTCATAAAGAAAGGGAAAAGGGTGTCGATGTTTCAAAGACTCGGTCCAGTTCGAAAGTCTAAAGGCAAACATTCTGTGTTTCAACGACTTGGATCCTTCAAGCAGTCAAAGCCTTTACGATAAGAAAGAGGTGCGGGTCTGGCTTCAAAGCTTAGAAGTCGAATTTTGTCACGTATGAAATGTCAAACCACCTTGGTCACATCATGTGAGGAGGTTTTAAAGGCAAAAATGCACACGATCGTTCATACAAGAGTGCAGGACGATGAAGATGATGATAGAGAAAGTGTTGGTTCGTCTTACTATGCTTGTGATACTCTTACAACTCCCCGAGATGATGAACTTTCACTTTACCGAAAGATAGCATATTTGGTGAGAAAAGGGTATATATCTACAGTTCATGAAAATGTGCAAACACGGCTTGTCACGGGAAGAAATGGACGGGCGAGAGCATTTGTTGATTTCAAAACTCTTAGTGAGTCGAGCGAGGATATTGCTCCCGTGAACCATATCACTATATGTGAGGATACTCTGATAGAAGAAGAAGATGCCGAAGACGCACCTCCCGAGCTTGAAGAAGGTGTTAAGGCCACGGTCGATGAACTAAAGAAAATCAACTTGGGTGATGTTGATGATCCTCGCCCAACGTACATCAGCGCCTTGCTAACTGTAGATGAAGAAAAGGCCTACATAGAGCTTCTTGGTGAGTTTAAGGATGTATTCGCATGGTCGTATAAGGAGATGCCTGGATTAGACCCAAAGGTGGCGGTGCATAACTTGTCCGTGAGAAAGAGGGCAAAACCTGTTAAACAAGCACAACGGAGATTTCGACATGGTTCAGATATCCCACATCGGTTGTGAAGGGGAACGAAGCATGCCATATAAGTG